TATATTTCTTGTTAGTTGATCGATTTGTTTTAACGCAATGTTGTTAAATGCATTCGCTGTACATAATATTCCCTGTTATCATGTTGATCCTTTCCGTGACTGTGAAAACGCCCCTTTTGTGCTGCGGAGACTTCGCCGTATATTATCATTTCGTGATATAGTCCTGTGATTATCACATCGTGCTCTTCGCATGCTGATTTCTGTGCCACTCTCATATATGTGACATTAGATATTGAATAGACACGTGTTGGGGGACCCCAACATATATAAGCAGCACGTTGACGTTTGCAATGTTTTCGCTGACGAAGGCCCCGGACCCCGGCCGAAACGTAGGAGTAATAAATGTTTTCGTACGTTTGTCCGCTCAAGCCAATTTCTATTTATCACTGGATGCACAGAAGACACTCGCTTGATGTGTATATATATATATATATATATATATATATATATATATATATATATACATAAGGCATTCCTGAGGAGAAAGCCATTTACGTTCGTCCCGTAGTGCCAGAACAAGGCTCCTACACTCGAAGATTCTGTAGCGAAAGGTTGTCGGGTGGCTCAGGCTAAGCTTTCAGTTTACGAGCTATTATTATTTTGCTGACGTGAGTACCATGATGGAAATACGGGAAGTCAATTCTGCATCTACGCCCACATAAAACAGTTCCTCGTTACATACGCGAGCCAACAGAGCACGGGCGAGGTGTAATTGGGCGCTACGCGTGGATTGTTCTTTCATATATGGCGGTCGGTTTGGAACAGAAGCTTTAAGGGGCGAAGCTCCCTATGGCGTGGGTCTGTCGCTGCTCCGTATGTATGTATGTATGTATGTATGTATGTATGTATGTATGTATGTATGTATGTATGTATGTATGTATGTATGTATGTATGTATGTATGTATGTATGTATGTATGTATGTGCGCATGTATGTATGTATGCATGTATGTAGCCACCGGTTCGGGTATGTGCCACAGTGGTTTGCGAGGTGGGATATAGCGGTACTAGAAGTATTCACTAGATGGACATACGGGCGGTCGCATGGACTGATGGACAGACAGACTTGCAGACGGACAAACGGCTGCATAGACGCACGAACGGACGGACGCATGGACAGACGGATGGACGCATCAATTGACGCACGGATGGTCACGTGGACGGACATAAGCAAGAACGAACGGACGGATGGAAGCACGGACGGACTGGCTGACGGATGCTTCGCCCGACTCATCATCATTCACTGCGTGGATATGCTATCATTTTTTAAGGAAGACTTTTCCTTTCCTCTACGTCAAGTGCCGTTGAGTTGTCATAGCTTCACTTAAACCACCTTACGTTGCTTTAGGGCAATGATATACAACGCAGGGTTACTAGTGTTTGTACCACTTTTCCCTCCTATTGTGCGTGCGCTACAGGCAAGTCGCCTTATTTCAGAAATGTCTCTGTGAGGTTGCTGCCAGATACCCATGTCGCATGAACGGGCGATTGATGCTTCTCTTGAAAAAACTATTTTTTAAATTGTGCCAGATTATTTCGGTACATTTAGTATGTTATTTAATCCGCTCAACAACGGCGAGAATGCCACCGAACGCCGAACGTTTGCTTGCCCTTTAGTCCCTCTTAAATGCGTCACTTCGCAGGACAGTGTTGGTTTCTTGGTTCCCTACACATGAAGTGTGGTACTTTTATCGCAAACACGGTATGAGTGATATATATATATATATATATATATATATATATATATATATATATATATATAAATAAATAAATATATATATATATATATATATATATATATATATATATATATATATATATATATATATATATATATATATATATATATATATATATATATATATATATATATATATGACACAAGCAAAACATGAACGCTCGTGATTTCATTGACGTTTGCGAATAGAATGCGCAGTGAGTGAAACACGACATGCACTCAGAATGCAGCCCGCGGATTTTCAGCGTCACCGGTGAGCGATAAGTGATTGCCTGAAAGTAAAGTACCATCGGGTAAACCTAGCGTAGCCACTCAATCGTCGAATCCAACCGCTGACGCCAAGGCTCTCGGCAAGACAATCCGGATGCAGTAATCACAGCGCCGCGTAAGCGCACACAGTTGTCGCCTAGAACACTTTATGCACGCTCTCTATTCGTTCAGTAGGGGGAGTAGCCTATCAGGCGTCGTTTCCTGCCCTGCGCTATTTAGGCGGATAAAATTGTTGACACATGATTTGTTGCTCTCTTACAACGACACCGAACGAGACTAGTGCCGCGTGCAGTAGCGCAGAAAAGCAGCAACTCCTACACACGAGCCTCGTTAAAATGACCGAGTAAGATGAGCGAAAAAAACACGCCACCGTGAGTGCAAGTCTTTGACGCGTACGAGGCGCATAGAACGAATTGCACCTTTCGCATTCGTGAGTTTCAGTGAATTGTAATGTATACCGGGCTCCCAAATACTGTACGACGCTACACCGATATTCACGGCAAGGATTTAGCGTGATTGTCAAAACGGGTGCATCAATGTTGACGGATGCCTTGAAAGTCCTGTTCAAACACACAGAGCGGAAATTGTATTTGTTCAGCTCCAACAGAGCTGTAACAACCTCTGTAGCGACACGCTTTTCTGTCGTAATATAAACAATTGCTGAAAACAGAGGTCAGTGGTGCTGTTGACATCTACTTCGCACACAATTGGTCTCTTTACGACACGGTGTGGTGACGAAAGTTTCAGGTTATATTCATGGCTACTTGACAACTATGGTTGAACTTCTCTTTTTTTGTGCATTACGTAGATAAATTTCTGAATGCTTGCAGATAAAGTACTCTGTGTCTGAGCATACACCTGTCATGTCACGTGATGCATTTTCTACCTCCACCAACATGCTGCCGCATATCGGGGCACCCCAAAGCAACTTGCGGCAGGTCTGCAAATACGGAGTGGCGAAATTGTTAGCGTGCTCGCGAACACGTGGCGAGGACGCTGTTCGGGAAGCTGTGCTTATACTACGCACAAATTTCTAATTTTGATGCTCAGCGCAGGCTCTCTCGCATGGTGTGGACAAAAACAGAGTTGCGCGTCAAAATGAAACTGCGCTCTTCATTTTAAAACCGGACTTCAGTACCTCATGCTGGAATGCTGATATGGAAAGCCTACTGATCGAATTTGGTCTGCGGCTTCGAAGAAAAAAAAACGAGCTTGTTGCCTGGAATGTTCCAAAGCCAGTATACATGTTTGGGAATAACTCCATATATTCTCTCCTGACTCTATACAGGTAGAGTGAATTCATTTAACATATTTACTTATTTTGAACTTATCTGCGACTTCAAGACCCAGGAAACACAAAAGAATATCCTATCAATTCTATGGTCTAGTTTATTTATTATAGAAACCTTTCAACCTTACAATAATAAAAATTCTATCCATAATACCACTGTTCATTCTCTACACATATGGCAAAATAAATTACATTGAGAGCATACTTTGGCTTCACTCTGAAATTCTCGCTCCTCTTCGTTTCACCAAACAGGAACCCTCGCATACGTCGACCAACGTTTTTCTAACTCGGATAAACAACGCAATGGCTAAAACAAGTAAAGTTGTATTGCCGAGATATTATCATATAAATAAGCTAAAAGCGAACACATTATTTGTTTATTTGCATTTAACAACAATACACAACTTCACGAGCTGGAATATTAAATAAGTCACATCACTCGTGGACGTGGTTTTATTTGTGAGTTAAGTATAGCATGCGCCTTCAAGGCGAATAATGCAAAGGCAATACGTAAACAGCAGTCGTCGCGAAAAAAAAAAAAACGAAACTGTTACAAACACAGAATCGCTCAGAATTCATACTTCGCAGTTCTTTGTATACGAATGGGACATAAAACGAACCAGAAATCCCAACACCCTGAACATGACGAGAAAATATAGAAGCCATTGAGATCGCGGAAACGGCAGCAGTCATAGAGAACGCGCGTTTGTATACTGATCGGTTTTTTGTTGGCAACTTCCGCAATTTTCAGTTGGTTTCGGCAAAACAGCAGCAGTTTAACAGCATCGACATGAAACGCTTTTTTTCTTGGCTAGAGCACTGAAAGAGATCGAAATTGTGTTAGAAATATTACTCACTGCAAACTGGCCGTCATCTCCTTCGGCTTCAATTATACTTCGACGGCTTCATATTCCACATTCCCTTCTTCTTAGTTTTTGTTGTTGCAGTATTTTTTTTACTGTTATAGACCATAGTTATATTCCTCTTGTAGCCACTTGCAGCGAGGCCTGTTATCGCGGCTGCCATAATAGCCCCCGCTGCATGCCCCCACATGTGCTTGAGTATAGTGCGCCTAGGCTGCCGGAGTTGCTGCGAAGCAATATGCGGCCGACGAAGTTGCACGCACCCGTGGAAGTGACTTGCGATGATTTCCCCACCCTTTCTGCCTTCCCCGAGTGCGCATCGCGTTATCCGCAGACTTCGACAATGGTCGAGAAGGATCTGTGTCATGCCCGAATGGCGATGCCTCACTGTACGCTACCTTTGGCAAAGCAGAGCAGCCAGCGATTGACTTATTTTTTTCGATTCGTGCGGGGTAGGAATGCCTCTCTTCTCTGCTGTGTGGCGCTTGACGTGAGGTGTGTGCATGATAGCGGGGGCCACTTCCTGGCTGGCCCGAGGAGGTTATCGCCGAGCCCTCGTGGCTTTTTGGTGGCCACAAGCGCCCTTCGCTTTCTGACTCCTCTGGAGCACCCAAACTCTAGCATTAACAGCAGCGGCCGAAAGGAACGCGGCGGCGCGTATTTATTTGCCGATCGAGGCCAGTGAACTTGGAAAGGAAAAACGCAGACGTGAAAGGGGCGCTCATTCTTTCCCCGTTATGGCGGCGAAGGGCGTCGCGAAACCAGAACGTGTGCCCACACGCCGCACGGCCAATGGAGGTTAGTATATAAGGGGCCGCGCGGCATTGGCCCAGACCTAGATCGCCCCACGGAGCAGACGCAATCCGGTGAGTGGAGTGTGTGTATGTGTGTGCGCGTGGCTGGGCCAGACGCGGCCGCCCCAAACGGGCGCTCACTTGCCTCAATGCACCAGCGTCCATGTCGGCCTGTCCCTTATGGGGGACTACTTTGGTGCTTCCGGAATTTAGCAAGATTCATGATTGAGCAGCGCACGGTGTATGCAATGTTTCTGGGCGGCAACGAAATATTTCTGTGTTGTCGCAGAATAGTGAAGTGTGGGAGTGACACCGCGTGGCGTTTCGGACTGCCACGCGGTCACCTGTCGGAGCGGACTCCTTTAAGGCACTCCGTACAAAGAGCGCCAAGTATTTCCGTTTTTATTACAAATACAAACCTCTATCATTGAAGAAGTGTGTTTTATGGAGGGTTTGAAGGGTTCTCTATGCAAAAGCTGTCTCTGATGCGTAAACCAGGATGAACTTGAGCTCATTCAAGAATTTCTGAGTTTCCACTAATGGGGTACCCTTCTTTCGTGCATGGATAAATGAGTTCTTCGGAATGTTCAAAAAATGGCAGTAGTGTTACGCCATCTCACAATAGATACTTCCGTGTGTGTACCAATGGTGTATACATCTCTTTAAGTTAAATTTAAAAAGTTCCTTATGCACAGTAAGGATATATTTCATCGATGGCTGTACTTTAGACAACGCTGTCTCGGTTTCAAAGATTCACTAAGTGGAATTATTGAAAAGAGTTATGTGTATACAGGAACGGTATAAACGATGCCCCCAATTGTATCACTTGGATTAAGAAAGATAATTTGTATGAAACTTCCCGCACCACGATTGATGATATAGGTCACGGTCATTTTGTAAGCTTGGCCTCATCTTAGTCGCGCTTTAACGGGACCTGCAGTATCTGTAAGCGGCCAAGAACGGGCATATTCAGTAATTCATTGTAAGCGTATAGATTTAAAGCTAAACAAATGGGATATTTCGCCAAATCCTAGAATGCCAATTAGTGCACTTTGTGGGCGCTTCTGCAAGGTCATTCGGCCGAAAGACCATGTACTCGCACCAATGTACTTCGTTTAGGCATAGCTTGCCACTTGCAGGTATGGAAGTAGACTGGAGGTAATATGGCTCTCTCTCGTCGGTGTCCATTATCGGCATCGAATCACAACGGTGGTCTTGTCGTTATGGTACTCGCCACAAGGGCCAGATTCTTAGATTTCGGGCACGTTAAACAACCCCAGTTGGTCAAAATTTCCCGAGCCCTTCACTACGGTGCATCTGATAATCAAATTGTGTTTTTCGGACGTTAATCCCTTTAAACTTTATGGGTAACATCGGAATTGCTCAACTGCACCAGTGAAATGCAGCAGTGTGCTTAAACAGCACTGATATGAATATGCACCCTGCAGACAAGGCTGCAGACAAGACAGGGCTGTGGAATCGAGCTGCCACCCACATTTGGGATGTACACTCTATAAACTACGGAAGCGCTCAGTATTTTTTTTTACCTTCTCCTGGTTTGTCATAGCGTTAACGCTCCGCGTCTGTATTGCGAGTAAGTAACAATGACAGTTTGTTTTGCGCGCGGTCAGTAGCTTTGTGCACGCTTGACCTACATACAGCTGGGTACATGGTGCTCCAAATTCTGTCCATTACCGAGTACAACAGTGCATTTGGAGCACACGCTGCTAATATACATCTATATATTTATGCACAGTACATTAATTAACGTCAAATAATGAATTCGAGTACTTTATATTTGTTGCTTTCAAGGTTTGTTGTTGGTACCCATTTCAACTTCATAGAATTACCAGCACTGTTTTATCGACTTTTCTCAATTCACACATGCCATTTCATGTTAAAATTATACTAGTGAAAGATAGATTCACGTTGTTTCGCCCAAGTAAAAAGTTTATGGAGAGGAGCAGTGACAGTAGCCATCGCAAGGTAAGATTAAGCACGCTGTTTCTTATTTCCAGGTAAATTCATGCCTGTCATATGTATGTGGTGTCAGCACTGCCTTGTCACGTTAGACCACGTTCACCTGGCCATAGACGCGTTGAGACTACGGGCAGTGAGCAAATGCGAAAATAGTTCCCGTGCCGAAGCATCCATCTTCACTTTGACTGTATACTTTGAACTTGAATGCAAAAAACACGCTCAGTTGCTTTCACAGCTGCAGAGCCGTGTTTTATGGTGACGTGCTTGTACTTATGCTATGGAAGGAAGTTCTAAAATTGTTCATGATCAAGTATACTCTGGTTATGCGACGCAATGTTCATTTTGCCGCAGCAATGGTAACTTGGCTCATGGCTGAGAACACGGTCTTGGCAATTTGCCTTTCAGTGGAATACCTTGATAGCCGAAAATTTGATTTCTGTGACAAATATTGTGAATGAAGTGATGGTGAGGCCTATCGCTTTCGGCAGCCCTTAATGCCTTTGCTTATCTCGTTCACTCTGTCTGGAAGAATGCGCCTTCCTCTTTGCTAGAGGGAAGTGCCGCACCACGCAGGACGCACAGCATTCAGGTAGGCTTCATAGAAAGCTAAACGTGCTGACCACAACGGGATAGGCTACCATATTTTCAGCATACCATTATTGCCGCACGTGAGAGCCAGCGGGCAGTATGATAACATGCTGATGCTCATAGTGCTGCTAATGCGTTTGCTTGCGCCCACTGTAACTTCTTGTGTACGTTGCACAAGATGTTTTCCCACCGTCGATATAAGAAATGAACTATTTCCTCTTAGGCTCGCGCATCTTCGTTGATTTGTGACAACTCAATACCTACTGCACGCTTCAAGTTCACTGGAACCGATGCGTACGCGATCATTAAATGGATTTAAACTCACACTTTATTAGGCGGTTCGTTCACTGCATTGAAAATGTTTAACTTGCTCGTCGTTCACTTTGTGAAGGTTGTTTGCATAAAACTGAAAGTGCAAGTTTCATAGATTAGTAGAAAATATACATTGCATGCTGCAGTACTGCGCGCCACTCTCATACATAGCTAAGACACACGCCCGGCCCGCTTGCCTTTGGTACTCTCTGAGCTGTGCCCTCCACCCCCCTCTTCCCCCATTCCATCTCTCTTAACCGCGTCGTACATCGGGGAAGTTTCACAGCACGAGGGCGTAATAGCGAGGCTGCGGCGTCATCATCAACACTCAGATCAAAGGCTGAGCCGTAAATAGCAACAACGGCCAGTGCACCGGCGGCAACCACTCGTCTTGACCTCGATTTCACGAACGCTCGAGAGAGATCGAGAAGGAGGAGAGGCATTCAAGTAGTTGGGGAGAAGGACTGCTGGGGGGTAGTTTAGTTGGCGTGGTATACGATGGTTGACTGGCGTCCAGCTCTTCTTCTCATCCTTTGGAAACAGGTCACGCACGACCTGACTGTCCAATGATGGGCGCACGCTCCAAGAAGTTTGTCTCCAGAGCAGTCGGCCTTCCTTTTGAGGGCACTTTGCATTTGACAGCGAGCGCCATTGATCTTTGAGGCATCGTTGTGAACAAAAAAGGACGTGTATTTCCATAAAAATAATAGTTGTGAATAGCAAGTGCAGACGGGTTATCTTGAGGAAAATGACCGTACGCACCAGGACAATGAGTTATGATTGCTTGATATCTACGTTAATTAGTGATTATGAAAGAGGAAACCAGTATAGTACGTGGAAAGCCTCTAGAAGTTTTTCCAAACAATGTTAAATTCTTCCGAGTGCAATTTGCAGGACACTACCATTGATGCATGGTGAGCAATCCTACCAAAGCCTAGTAGCAATTGAGGTGTCCTTATTGGGGGGGTACGTGAATCTCAAACACAAAAAGCACGCAGCCGTTATTTCTGAAACGGCATAGTGACATTGTTATGCAATACTTGTTTGTTTGTGCAACTCGAATTTAGGAGCAGCTTCAATGTAATTCTGTCCGCAGATCTTGAAAAAAAGGTAAAGGGGACCGAGGTCCGCGATAATGGTGAGACAGTTCAGAAAGCTTGCCTGAAAGCATCGCGAATGGATGGCTGCCCAGGAAGTTTCAGCGTGTGTTCGCGTTTACAGGCGTAATTATAGGGCCTGCTAGACGGACCCTCGTTTGGTAGAGAGTACGGACAGTCTGAAATACAGAACGTGTAATTTACAGCGTGAGAGGTTTACTCAGGCCCGTCCCACTGTAAATATTTCACCTGTTATTATGAAAATCGGAACATGCCACTAAGGCGGGTTCCGACAGTTCCCTCGAAGTTCAATATGCTGAACCCATAAAATCGCTATATGCCGTTTGCGGTTCTCTTATTTCTGAAATGCTACAACTAAAGCGGAGGCGTGCATCGCTCACTACTTTATCCGCAAAAGGCTGAAGTGTGCATAGAGGCTTAGTCTATCAAAGCACGCTATTCACGACTCTCTTCGGAGGTGTCACAAGTTGTAACTAGCAATGCTGATAGGATATTGGTAATCTATGCATACGCTCTTCTCACGTATGACACGAGAGACGTTGAAGATTACGAGCACTTGGTAGAGCTGCCAGATGGGTCAGAGGTGCCTGGCCGGCCTCCCTCCTGTCCGACAGTTCACCATATGAGTGCGATGCTTTGTGGAAGCTTTCTAACGAGCCCATTTTCCACCAATTGAACAGATGTATTTGACTCAGATAACAGTCGAAGACCATTTCGTAATGCCACATGCCGTAGCTGCTGCCCAAGCAGTGGCTCTTCACTCCTTAAAGTTCTGACTAAACCGACACCTGAATGCTCACGCCAGCAATATAAGTGATTACAGTTACCAAACAGCGTTCACTAGCCCCTTCATGGAGCGCGATGGTCAACCTTCCGATCCACATTGTGCCATATATTTAGCATCACCTGTTTGTCGTCATTTTCTTAATGTGCGCGATATAGTTGAACCATACCATACTAGATAAGATATCCTCGCTGTTGTTCGAGTGTCTAGGCAGGGCTCGTATTCTGGCGTTCATCTTGCGCCAAAACGTTTTGCAAGCAAACCTTACAGCCCATTCCGCTGTGTAGGGCATACGATTTGAGAAGCTGGCTGACCAATAAAACACCGCGCTGAGAGACCTCAGGTTCACTAAAGAAATGCATAAGAGGCTGAAGATAGCACTACACCGGCCTTAAGACAAATATATTTGGAAAGTAAGGCTGCCTTCATGGCCGAAATAATAAGGAAGCATACAAGGGATGTTAAGCTAAAACGCAGATTACCAGAACGCAACTATTTGGGTTCGACATCTTCTGTACTTCCTTGTGGCTGTTGTTTGTTCATACAGGCCGCGAACGCTGTTTCGCTATTGATAATTGTAAGTAGAACAGAACAGCGTAAATTTTTTTTTCGTTACAAAGTAACCTTTGCTAGACAAAACAAGATGTTAACTGTGGCGGGACTTAGAGCGAAGAGGGAGGTGGGGGTGGAGGTATTGCTATATAACTATTGTCTGTAGAGTTGTCTGGTCAGTTAAATTCTAACAAAAATGAAAACGAGTGGAGACGTTCACGTTTTTTGAAATAATTGAGTCTGAATTTTATATGCGGATTTTAAGCCGTGCTTATATCGATATGTACGCATGGGCATCGAAGGAGTTGGGCTAAAGTGGTAGCTTGGGCGTGTTGGTACGACATATTGGAAGGAAACAGCGCGAAGAACGAGAAACCACACAATGAAGGACACAACAAAGTGCTCCTCACAGGAAAATTTTTATTATTCACACTACGCTTATATACCTACGCAGCGTAACGAAAAAAAGAGGCAAAAGTGATAGTCGAAGATAAAAGAAAAATTAACACCACAAAACCAATTCCATAGCGCGTGGAAACAATCAGATAAAAGGACAACTTTCTTTTCTAAGAGAGCAACCAAGGAGTTCGATTGTGACAGTTGGCAATGCTTGAGTGATATAAGCCGCAGAACTATATCACGATGCCACGTTGCCGGGCTAGGTGGTTGTGGTTCATCAGTCATATGGGTATAGCGCACCACGACAGGCACAAAAGAGAGGCACACACACAGCGTTGCGTGTGTTTGCGTGTCTCTCTTTTGTGTTCTTGTTGTGGTGTGCTATGCCCACATGAATGATGAACTATATCGCAACACAGCAAGGGAAGTTTATCAAAAGCGGAGATCCTTGAGGCGTTAGACGGTGACGAGTAAACATAGATTATCATCATCTCGGTCTGGCGCTTGCCCCGCCGCGGTGGTCTAGTGGCTAAGGTACTCGGCTGCTGACCCGCAGGGCGCGGGTTCGAATCCCGGCTGCGGCGGCTGCATTTCCGATGGAGGCGGAAATGTTGTAGGCCCGTGTGCTCAGATTTGGGTGCACGTTAAAGAATCCCAGGTGGTCTAAATTTCCGGAGCCCTCCACTACGGCGTCTCTCATAATCATGTAGTGGTTTTGGGACGTTAAACCCCACATATCAATCAATCAATCGGTCTGGCGCTTGCTCTCTTTTTCCTATCTGTCCTTTTTGTTGCCTCCTGCTTCGCTTCCACAACATGTGCACCAATTTTTCAGACGTTTTCTGCAATAATTATGTTGAGTCAGAGAACGAGAACAGAAAAAGGCAGAGAAAGAAGGTGAAAGAGGTAATTTCTTGGCGAAAAAAAAAAGTCCTGAGGAGGCGGCATATGAACCAACGTACCCGAATTCAAAGATGATCATCGTAACCAATCGGCGATTCGGCCCGCTAGCGGAGCATTATTTAGCCTTCTATAATATCTTAAACTAGGAGGTGGGTAAGGAACGTGAGGGGGCTAGTGGAAGGTGTGAGGACTATAAGAAAATGGGAGAGGAAATTACGGCATGTCATAAAAAGTGAAAGAGTAAAAAAACAGAAATACCGAAAAAGATAAAAATATACAGGCAGAGAGAGAAAAAAAGGGGAAGAAAGAGATTAAGTGCTGGAAATGGCAGAACGAAAAAAAATAAATAGCAATAAGCAGACAAAAAATGCACAGGAAGATAAAGGAGAGAGAAAGAAGAAAAATACATGAACAGAGAAAGAGAAAAATCAAGCTAAACAACGATGGCTGCCCAGTTCTGCACTTCCTTAAAAAGGTTCGTTCCAATAGCTCGGAGATGCCTGGTTTTTTTTTAGGCTACTGTACTGGTTAGATATTTTGTGGATGCGGAAGGTGATCAAACTGCACGTAACGTAGAAGTGGTCATGGCGGTAACTAATAGAATAATAACACTATATGTATAATAATCAAATATTTTAATGAGAAGAATACATTATCCTTCACCCTTTATTTATATCAGTAGCCCAAATGCAGTTGTGGACAAGGAAATAGCCCATCGGAAATGTTACGGAATCGTTTAGACGTGCGTCTAGAACTTCATCTTGGTACTTGAGTGACTAGAGAAGCTCGGAAACACCGAAAACAGAGAGCGTTGGCCGTCATCATACCTTCGCCTTACGTTTAGAATGCACGTTTAATAATCCGTCAATTTCGCGTTTACTGTTATAGGCACACTTTGAGCATGTGGGGCCATCGCCTGACTGACTGTTGTAATTAGGGTAGTGTCACTATTTAGTAAACTTTGTTTACAATATATCAAGCTATTTTCGCGTGTTTGCGCGTTGTGTTTATGCACTGGTGCGCTGTGACATTGCTGTACTAGCTGGTATCGGATAATCAGCAAAAGCCATTCTGCGCTTGCATCTTGTTAACTCAGCTTCTTCCGAAGTGTAGTGTGTATGCAGCTTACATTTCATTTCTATATACAGACACAAGAATTTGGTGTGTTTTAATGCGATAAATTCACTTTATTGTTTTGGTACATCAGCGTAGTGGTAGTGTGTTGCTTGTCAACCTTCATCAATATAACTAAGGGTAGTATTTTGTTGGTTATCAAGCGCAATCATGCCCTGTGACGAGCGATAAGTTGTGCTTGAGCCGGAACGCGACATCTTCTCACTCGTAGAAGGCTCATGTCAACGTTCACTTGCAGCAACCATGAATCCGATGCACCTCTTCCTCGCTACCGTGGTTTGCGTACTGCTGCTGGCACTGCCGACGCACCAGCAAGGGTTGCTCGGTCTGATGGCCACTGCCGCCATTATGAGGCGATTCCGCGGAAACAACCAGAACGAGAACAGCCAGAGCCAGTCTGCTGGCCAGACACCCTTAGCATCCCATCCGGAGCCCTCAATCTATGGCCTGCCTTCGCAAAACATCCCGTGAGTCAATGTAGTTACGGTAATATCATGCTTGCTGCACATGCCGACAACGCCTTTTCGTTGTACTTGCAATCTGTTAAGAGATTCTCAAACTAGTACCATATCAAGCTCTAAGCGGGCTGTGGTGGCTTGAGTACTCTACTACGAAGACGAAAACCTCCGCTGGTAAATGAGTGAGTTGTGAAGAGGCATAAAAAAGACATGTAGCCCTTCAGGTCAACCACCGGTGACCAATGAGGCCTAAAACTCGATACAAAGAGGCGTTGAACGCAGCCGAGGGCAACAATGAGTTCATTGAACTGAGGAAATTCAGAAATTTACGAGCAAACTAGATCAACTCGTGTAGAATAGGTTAACCGAACAACATACGGAGAATCCTAAGTTGTGCGATGTCCATACAATAATATTGTAATAATGATGGCAGTTCATATCGTTGTACATTTTCGCGTCTGTCTGCAAGCAGAAGGCCCGTCACTTATTTGGCTATATCAGTTGTAAGCCTGAAATAGTATAAACACTCTAGCGCAAGAAGCTCCGTATCTTGGGCTAAAGAACTGCTAAACTACAGCAGTAAAGAGCATGACTGCAGAGAGTAAAAAACTTATTGGAAGTAGCACTTCTCGCAGGGCTCAGCATGACCGTTGTTGAAGCAATCAGCAGTGAAGCAAGCCTTTTGCCATCTTACATAAAAAATGAACAAAACATTTTCTGCTGGATATGTGCATATTTTGTTCGGGTCAAAATAATGTACGACGAGACTGAACTTAAAATATATGTCATGCATATTCCATAAATGATACAAGAAAATATGCATGGTGGTGTTTTTGAACATACGAAAAGGGCAATCAGTCATGTTGCATTAACATAAGTGCCCATACCATAACGACGAACCCACCATAAAATTATTACGGCGCGTTCTCGAGAGCAAGAGTCCACTTGACTACGTTGTATTTGATTTAGGCGGCGTTTTTCTGAAATAATTAGGCGCCGGCATGAAAATTCGTTACTTGTACAACTTTCAGTGTCTTACAAAAGCGTTTTGTAAGAGTCATCGCAAAAGAGAAAGTGTACTTTTGGTGCATCAGAGTGACGTAACCAGGGGGTGCCTCAGCAAGCACGTGATCCTCCCGAAATATCTGTCTGCTATTATATGCAGAGCATACGCAGAAACTTGACCCCACATGCCTTCCCTGCTCACATGTAGGATCGTGCATCACCGAAACAGTATTCTGGCTACGCGACTGATGACCACTAACACCAAGGTGATTTCAGAGCCATTTAATAAATACTCTCACGCATGCTTAAGAATATATTTTTTGCTAAAGAAGATGACTGAGTAATAAGATCAGCTTAATAAGATCAGTAATAAGAGCAGTAATAAGATCAGATAAGGTGAGTGTTGCGTACACTCATAGTGAACACAAGGATCGACACAGAAAATTATTTCAAAATAACGCATTTACCGCGCAAAAGAGTAAAACAAACACCACATATTCGTACTTCATATGTTGTGCGATTGAAGTAAAAATAAATACATATTAAAAGCAAAACAATAAAAAAATAACTTTCACTGTTCAAGCCAAGATAGTAATGAATACTTATGTAAACAATAAGTACAGCACATACAAGATGGAAAAGAAAAGGAAAAGAAAAGAAAAACGCTCTCATAAAAGATCGGAAACCTGGATTTTCAAGACAATGCTATTTTAGAGCGAAGGAGAAATAGATTCTATGAGGATGCCTAGTTGTTCCTTTCCAATCTGAGACCATGTGAGGAAAATATGAGTACATATAAGAGTCCCTTCTGCAGAAATAAGGTGTTACGAGATTTGGCGTGATGATGCCTTGTGCGTCTGGTCGATAACCATCTCAGGTGCGGCGAATGGTCAATCGCAAGTTTGTGGTTCAGAAGAAGGGAAAGAAGGTCAATTCTTATCTGCTTTCGACGTGTGCTAAGACGAGAAATGCTATTGGCCTTCGGTATTTCAGAAAGAGAGTCGACTCGTGAGAACGTGTCAAAAATGAACGGACGGCTTTACTCTGTATTCTTTCCAGGCACTTGATGTTAGTTTGAGTGTATGGGTCTCATACTGCACTCGCATATTCTAATTTCATCATCATCATCATCATCATCAGCCTGACGACGTCCACTGCAGGACAAAGGCCTCTCCCCCATTCCGCCAGTTAACCCGGTCCTGTGCTTGCTACTGCCAATTTATACCCGCAAACTTCTTAATCTCATCTGCCCACCTAACCTTCTGTCTCCCCCTAACCCGCTTCCCTTCTTTGGGAATCCAGTTAGTTACCCTTAAGCGGTTATCCTGTCTACGCGCTACATGCCGGGCCCATGTTCATTTCCTCTTCTTTATTTCAGCTATGATATCCTTAACCCCCGTTTGTCGCCTAATCCACTCTGCTCTCTTCTTGTCTTTTAAGGTTACACCTACCATTTTTCTTTCCATTGCTCGCTGCGTCGTCCTCAATTTAAGCTGAACCCTCTTTTTAAGTGTCCAGGTTTCTGCTCCGTAGCTAAGTACCGGCAAGATACAGCTGTTATATACCTTCCTCTTGAGGGATAGTGGCAATCTACCTGTCATAATTTGAGAGTGCTTGCCGAATGTGCTCCACCCCATTCTTATTCTTCTAGTTACTTCAATCTCGTGGTTCGGCTCTGCGGTTATTACCTGCCCTAAGTAGACATAGTCTTTTAGAACTTCAAGTGCACTATTACCTATCTCGAAGCGCTGCTCCTTTCCGAGGTTGTTGTACATTACTTTTGTTTTCTGCAGATTAATTTTAAGACCCAACTTTCTGCTCTCCTTGTCTAACTCCGTAATCATGAGTTGCAATTCGTCCCCTGAGTTACTCAGCAATGCAATGGCATCGGCGAAGCGCAGGTTACTAAGGTATTCTCCATTAACTCTTATCCCTAACTGTTCCCATTATAGGCTTCTGAAAACCTCCTGTAAGCACGCGGTAAATAGCATTGGGGAGATTGTGTCCCCCTGCCTTACACCTTTCTTGATTGGTATCCTGTTGCTTTTTTATGAAGCACTATGGTAGCAGTTGATATCTTGTAGATTTTTCCAGGATGTTTATATATACTTCATCTACGCCCTGATTCCGCAGTGTCCGCATGACGGCTGATATTTCTACTGAATCAAACGCCTTCTCGTACTCTATGAAGGCTATGTATAGTGGTTGGTTATACTCTGAGCATTTCTTTATTACCTGATTGATAGTATGAATGTGGTCAATTGTTGAGTAGCCTGTTCGAAATCCTGCTTGTTCCTTTAGTTGATTGAATTCTAATGTTTTCTTTACTCTGTTAGCAATTACCTTTGTAAATAGCTTGTATACTACAGAGAGCAAGCTGATCGGCCTGTAATTCTTCAAGTCCTTGCCATATCCTTTCTTATGTATTAAGAGGATGTTAGCGTTCTTCCAAGACTCTGGTAATCTTCCCATCAGGAGACACCTCGTAAACAGGGTGGCTAGTTTTTCTAACACAATCTGTCCTCCATCTTTCAGCAGATCTGATGTTACCTGATCCTCACCAGCAGCTTTGCCTCTTTGCATGTTCTCTAAAGCTTTTCTGACTTCTTCTATCATTACTGGTGGGGTGTCATCTGGGTTACTGCTAGTTCTTATAGTATTAAGGTCGTGGTTGTCTCGGCTACTGTTCAGATCTCTGTAAAACTCCTTTTGCTATTTTAACTATCCTATCCATATTGGTAGTTATTTTGCCTTCTTTGTTCCTTAGTGCATACATCCGACTTCTGCCTATCCCAAGTTTCCTCTTCACTGCTTTGACGCTTCTTCCGTTTTTCAGAGCGTGTTCAATTCTATCCATGTTATACCTTCTTACATCGCATACATTACGTCTATTAATCAACTTCGAAAGCTCTGCCAGTTCTATTTTGTCTGTTATACTTGACACTTTCATGATTTGACGCTTCCTAATTAGGTTCTTCGTTTCCTGGGAAACCTTGCCAGTGTCCTTTCTAACTACCCTGCCTCAAACTTCCACTGCACACTCCGTAATACTACTCGTCAGATTATCATTCATTGTGTCTATGCTAAGGTTGGGTTCCTCACTAAGAGCCGAGTACCTGTTCTGCAGCGACACTCTGAATTCCTGTACTTTCCCTCTCAGTGCTAGATCATTGATTGGCTTCTTGCGTATCAGTTTCTGTCGTTCGTTCTTCAAGTCTAGGCGAATTCGAGACCTAATTTAGGTCCTAATAAAGAATAATAGGCCAGTAGTTTAACATTGCTTGGGGCATTATGAAGCTTGTTTTAGGAAGCAAAGCTTTGTGAATGCAGAGGAGGAAATAGTATTTATATGTTTATTCCACGAGATAAATTAGTTTTTATTGTAACACATAAGTATTTATAGCCATCGACTTGCCCAAGAAGAACGATGCTGGTAAGTAAAAGGCAGGGGTGCTTTTCTACGCGTTATAGGGAGCGGTTCTCTTTTATTGGCGTTCAAAATCATTCCCCATTTTTCGCCCCACTGCAATACGTTATTTAAACTGCTATTTAACTCAACCTGATCATGAAGATGAAGAATTTTTTTGAATAAGATGCAGTCGTCTTCAAATATACGAATTTGAACACCAGGGCATACTATGCTCACAATATGATTAATATAAACCAAGAAAAGCGGATGGCCTAAGACGCAGAAATAAGCGTTGAGTTCTTTGAGACCCCAGTTTCGCTGATTATCAATAAATGGCAAGGGGGAATTCAGAAGTCGTTCCTAAGCGGTTTCTGGACATTTTCCGACTGAATTGCCTGAATGTGTATTCAACATTACGCCTGGTTCACCGCGCGATATCCAACTAGTGCAGTTCACGGAGAATGAAAGCTCTGCTAGATTAAACGACACTGAATCTGCCCCTGCACCCGCGAATCTGTATGCTGCTGAATTGCTTACGAGAGTGAAGGCTACATGAAACATGCAGACGATTCATAAACTGTCAGAATGTGGTTTGATTTTGTCCAGCGCAAGCAGCGTGGTTTCTCTTTGATTGAGCACGTTCTTGGACTCGCAGGTTCTATGCGGGCGGCTACCCCGGTGCCTACGGCGCTTCCATGGGCGCGCAGTCAGGTCTGGCCCCAGGCTTCGGTGGAGGTTTCCCTGGCGGTAGCGCAGCCTTCGCTCCCGGTACCGGTCCTAGCACCTACTCGGCCAGCTTTGGTGGGTTGAACTTCAACACTGGCGGATTTGGCGGCACACCAGCGGCTTCTACGTCTTCAGCCTTTGCACCCGGAGGTTTCGGAGGCCTTCCCGGTGCCGGCGGTGTACCTTATGGTGGCTAGAGTAGCTGCTGCCGCCCACTAAGCACCATGGGCACTCCATGCTACGGTGTTTCCGTGCTGAGCTGCACAGATTCCAAATCCAGAAAATCGTAGCGTTGAATGTAAAGCCACAGACCTTTGGCATCATTCGCGATTTCAGATAGATATATTGTGAGAATTCTTTTTAGCAGAATTTGCAGGTGTCACTAAAACGCCAATTCCTAGTTAAGAAGTGCGCTTCTCGGTGCTTCATACAACACCCACCTCCTCAAGAAAATGACTAGACCCATAATTTAATTGAAGGCAGAGATTCTAACAGAACGTGTCGGAGGCTTGATTCCGAGACAAAACACATATATGTACTTTAAATGGCTTCAAACGAACAAGCTGGGCTTGAATGCATTCCGTCTAAAATGACAATGTCGCCTTTAGTCGGTATGAACCCGTAATTTCATAGCGGGCGTTACAATTATGACAAAAGTATAATGGGCTAAGATACAGACGAAATGTGCAACTGTTTGTTTCCGTCAAGTTCCGCGTTGCTAGTGTCTGAGTGGTCAGGAAGTGGATGCTTTTTGCGGCAGCTCGGCAAGAAATCCCCAGCATCGAGTGCGCTATCACAACGCTGTTTTTCGATTTCTGTCATCCCCAGTTGCAGCTCTCATCACACGAGAGTGCAGAACTTCTCACGAGTGCTTTCTAAGTACGTCCACGTGTGAAAACTTCCACGCGAAAAAAAATACTTCGATTTGCTTCCTAGGCTGCCATCACGTTCCGAAAGGATGCGCGAGGTAGTCGTGGTTCTCTTTGTGAGGTGAATTTAAGCTCTAATCGTTTACGTCCACCGCAATTATGTATCCATAAACGGAAGCTATAATGTACGGATACTGGGCCTTGAAACACGAACGCTCACCCACCACTAGTTCGGTCTTGTCCAGGCTGTAAATCACACAGAGCTTTAACCACGCTGCCATTCGACTGAGCCTGGTTGCCATTTGAATGGCAGCTCTGTCCACTTTCTCACACCATTCCTTGTGCCCTAACTACAGCGCTGGCAGTGTTACTCAGGAAGGCGTATATTAAATCGTACATTTGAGGATGTTTTCTTATACTAAAAACGCTAATATGAATACGAATATTCAAAGTACAAGATGAATGACATCTACTCTTGCATAAGAAAGAAAACATATTAAATACCTAATTATACTTGAATCAAGGCATAAATATGAAGCAGGATGTGAGGTACAATGAAGCTTGCTCATGTGCACCACATGCACGCATGGCAAGCTGCACGAAACCGATGTGCTGAGGCGCCACTCGCCGATAAGTTTCTCCGTGGAATCATTTACAGCTGTTGCTGCTAACCGGAGTGAATCCAGCTGCTTGTTTGTTTATTTACTTGATGTTTTGTGGCCTTCAGCTTAGCTGTGGTGCGGGTACAACAGTTTTCATAAAGTAATTGCAGCTAGACTGCAAATACCTTAGCCTCTCAAAAGCAGCACTAGGAGCGTGCGCAAATCACTCCTTCTGGGCCGTAGGCACATGTCACTCAGTGGCAGCTAGGTATGCGTCACATGTCTCACACACTTCAACATTCCGTGGCCAGAAGCGGAGTCTCGTACGCACGCTTACCCTTTATCACGAAACTCTCGCGACGTCAGCAGTATTGTGAAGGCTTGTGTTCTTCGTAAAACTACAAAGAATGTTCGGGCTCGGGCTTCGCAGACTATCGAAATATAAGTCTGTATGCGATTCGAAAGAGGACCGGCGGCTGCATTTCCGATGGAGGCGGAAATGTTGTAGGCCCGTGTGCTCAGATTTGCGCGCACATTAAAGAACCCCAGGTGGTCTAAATTTCCGAAGCCCTCTACTACGGCGTCTCTCATAATCATATAGTGGTTTTGGGACGTTAAACCCCACATATCAATCAATTCGAAAGAGGACGGAAAGGAGCGTGACCCGTGCGCAAGCAGGCAAGTAAGCTTGTACAAAAGATAGTTTTCTGACCCGTCTTTGTTGGGGAATCTTTAGCACCTTTTACTGGCAAAGTAAGACGTCCGGCTCAAAAGTTTCAATTTGTACACATTTCCTCAACAATGCGCATCTGTTCCCACTCGAATCGCTATAGATAGCGTAACGCGGTTTCATTACTTGCGATAGTGGTTTAGATGCCGAAAATTTTTCTAAAACAATCCGAATCGTCAACCTGCAAAGCACTAAAATTAGGCACACGAAGCACATACGTGATCTTTCACGCACGTGAGCCACTTCACCACGGCTCAAAGGTCAGAGCTCCTTTTCTCGCGCTCGGTCGTATCAAATTGGACACTCAAACAGTGGTCAATGCTTCGCATTGGTTTCAAAGACCAATGCTTGCGTGCATATGATTAGGTACATAAATGTACATCACACCAATAGCATGTGCTGCTGAACTATCATATTCCAGCTCAGCTTCAACCACCGTTTCAGTGTTTCACATTGGCGCGTTGGCTACGCAGGGGCGCCGGGGTCGGCTTCCAGTGTTTATGAAGTCTCCGTCATGTGGATACGGTGGGCAGTGAACACTGTCTTGACTGAGTTGTCCATGTTTTACTGCCCCAAGAAAACCTCGCTCAGGAAGTAATTCAATTCATTTCTAGTCTCACACGCTGACGCAACCCTGACTCTCGAACTGCCTTTGAGCACTCCATCCCTACTCTCGATAAGCGTGAGTTTCGTGTTCTTTTTGTAAATATTTCTTCAACACGGGTTTCTTGCGTTGTACTACCAGTTACGAAAATAAACTGAACTGATAATGAAAGCTGGTCAGACTGTGTCTTTTTTTTCGTAAAAAATACGATCGTGTGATCATTCCCAACTTGCTCCCCTCTCCAATAATCTTCAATGGCATAGCATGTTACATGACTAAACACTTCATAAGGTAATCGAACAACTGAACTTGGCGAAATCACTTTCATGTGTAACTGCAATTTTTTGGTGAAGAAAGTTACATATTGAATGGTATATAACGACAATTGTGATTCGTTGCAGGTATTTCTTGTTTGCTTTTTATAGGGCTACGTTGACATCAATGCATTCACTACTGTGAGGATGAACGGCTGTCTCACAATTTATTGACACGCTCCTACGCTGTTTCACGTACTGCAGCTGGTGATAGAGAGAAAAATAATATTTTGAAGTCATAGGGGAGTCGTGAATATGAATAAAGGTTTGCAGCATGCGACTTGACTATTAAAATAACGATTTTATTGAACGCGCTATAAAAAAAGGTTACATTTCTGAAAATTTCAACCTTAAAAGATGCGAAGCTTGTCAAAGCAGCAGCAGAGCATAAATCATCTGGTAGGTGAGAAAGTTTCAGAGCTTGCTGATAAATTCAAGAGAAAATTTCGAGAGGCTCCTGAAAAATAGATAACCGACGACGTATTTGTAGAAACCGGCTTCATTGTTTTAAAGGGCAAATGCGATCCCTGCTGATCGGGGTAAACATCCCCACAGTTACCTAGGCGTAGCTGTTTACCTGCGCGCAAACCGGTATAAAGATGAGAAAGACAGCGACTCAATGTAGTCGTGAAATGAGAACAAAATAAAGACGACTAAGTTCACTAGAGAACTACGTAATCCAAATTGACATCCATTTGCACTGAATTATTACAAACATAAAAAAGAAACCCTTCTAATCCAGCACAATGTATCTGGTTGCGCTCTTGGAAATGCTGTGCTTTATTTAGAATGGGAAGAACAGAACGATATTGGCGAGCACCAGTACAAAGTAGGAAATAATTTGGGAAATTCAATGAATCAAAATCATATAGCTGCATATGCAGGCCTGGATAGTTAGAACTGAAAAAAAATGAAGGAATAAAATGATTGCATGAAACTTGCGTCGCACGCGTGTAGGTTCTTAGGCTTATTGCTGACGGCTTATTTGCTGACGAATTTGTTTCCAAGTCTTTGGGATACAAAACTCGCCAATAATTTCGCGTTGCATGGTTTCCTATACTGGCAGTGATATCATATTTTGTAAACATAGCCGTCCACACATGCACTGCAATTAATCGTGTTAAATGTCAATGAAAGCCAACAGACAATGAAGCTGAGGAAAATACGGGACGTTATCTGCAGTGGTTTCAATGTAAATAAATTATTTTGATATGAGTCTTAAGAAATTAAGAACTTTCACTCATTAATTAGCCAGAGTCTAGTTCTGGTAGACTTGATACCTCGAGTAGCGTGCTCGTAAGACGGATACTACCGACGTGACGGCAGTTAGTAAAAGAAGGTGTTTCATTCTCACCTTGATAAACGCGAGTGTTGCTGACTAACATTCCGGGTTGAGGGTAGGGTGGGGTAAAATGCAACAAAAATTTTACAACAGTAAATATTTATTTTAATTTGACTCCTTACAATTCAACATCAATTCAGAAACTTTCCTTTGGGTATAAGGTATGTGCTACATAAGCATCGCCCTGTCGCCACTGTTCTAAACATTATCTTAAAAATAAATTGAAAGTGCTTCAGATGTCTCATTTTGCCCCAACCTGCGAAGCAAAATGAGACGCATAGTGAAGCAAAACAAGACAGTGTGAAAAAAAAATTATTCCTTCAGTTTATCATGTAGAAAAACTTGAACTTGACTCTGTGGGCTCTTACTCAGAACCCACTACTTGGACTCCACGCGCTGAATCTGGACAGAACGTGGTGTTGTGTTGCTCCTAAACTGCTTGCTGACAAACACCACCAATCTTTCTGCTAATATTGTCTCTTGCTGAACGCTTCAACTTCATTGCATTATTCAGCAAGTGGAGGCTAGATATATCTTTCGACGTATCATACTCACTTCTTGCCGTTTGGATGCAGAACTGCTCAGGTGTTTCATGGCTTTGAACTTACTCCGCTGGGCTTTCAGAGGGAATGACTTAAAAAGTGTGCTAGATTTAGATTTTCTAGCGCTTTTTTCAACTGTATTATTAGAGAAACGTTGTGAAAACTATATGCTAAGACGTATTTGTGAACGGCTTGACTTGCAGAATCTGCCATATTTTTTATGCGTCTTTTGAGGGCATCGTTGAGAGCACGGAAACTTCTCGATGAAGGGCTAATGTAGAGAGTCATGTCCTGAATGGTAATCAGTGCTTTTTTATGTTGTTTTCTCTTAGAGTCTCCTCTATATGATATTCTCTTGTATATCCGAACCCTCCTAAACAAACAAATAGAGTATATAATGAGTGTAAGTTAAAAGCTCAAGTAATAAGAGACTCTTTCAAACAAGTGGATGCCTTTTTCTCACGTTTCGCCCCTTTCACAAGCGAGGATTTTAAAAAACCCACACTATAGATGGCGAGTAAGAAGGGACAGAGGTTAATCTCCTTTTCAAACCGCCTCGCCCGAAGGAACCTGATTGACTTTCAATAAAGTTCTTGGGCACCAAACAAACTAAACTACTGGTGTATTATAGCTCGTAGCCTAAAGTAACAACTTGAATATATGCTTTGCTGTACTGATACAGGCATGAGTTGCTTCGAGCACGGATCCGAAAGTTTTGCCGAGTAGAGTTTCGCCCCCTTTTGACGGCTCACGAGTATACTGACATCAGTCGCCTAATCTTTCCCGCGCGAACACTGCGAGCAATCATGTCTTCGCACGTGGAATTGTGTACGAGGACCAGCACTTATCGCTGGAAAAAGTAAACAAGAAAAGTAGTTTTTGTATTAGGTGAAGCCGCCGGCAAACTTTGCTGGCTTCTGCACCTAATTTTACTTACTATCAGCGCTTCGTAAACTTTATTCCTAATGGTGTATTGTCCGTATATGAGCAATTAGACGTTCAAATTGACATGTTCAAGTGACAAAATTATAGTAAAAGCAAAATGATAGCTTAAAAGCAATCAAACTAAAACTGTATGTATAAAAATGAGAGGGTAATCAGTGCTAATCACACAATTTATAACATGTCTGTTCGCAACATAACGCATTTATTGGCGCAATGTAATATGTTCTATTACAATAAACTCTGTAAAAATCGGCGACACGAAAGTTTTCTTTAGTAATGAAATGCCCAATTCAGTAGACATATTCATTATTTCACGCTTGTGGGCACATAATGAATGAATCATATATACTGAATGGATTAGCTCAAAGAGCAGTTAAGTGTCAAAACATTGCCAAGAAATGGGACTGACATATAGAGCAGACATAAATAAGGCATTACGAAACTTGCACATTGTACCGAGAAATGGGGAGCTCAAGTCACCACGACGATAGTTATAGCGCGAGAACAAAATGACGACACAGAGACAAGAAGGTCTCTGTGTCGTCGTTTTGTTCTCGCGCTGTAACTATCATCATGCCATACCAACTAGCCCAAGCTGCCACACTTCAAGTCACCAGCTCAAAGGCTTTTAAGTGTGAAGCATTTCTTAGCGAACTTTGGCAACTTCTATCTATCTATCTATCTATCTATCTATCTATCTATCTATCTATCTATCTATCTATCTATCTATCTATCTATCTATCTATCTATCTATCTATCTATTTATCTATCTATCTATCTATCTAGCTGCCTAGGACTTTTAGCTCTCCTGGCCGTTTCGATAATGGTATCAATACCAAACTTGGTATGGCATAACACGACTGTATGAAGAACATATTTGGCTAGTCATGACATGAAAATTATGTCATGTATGCCATGAATGTCATGATTTACATTTCATAGTCCTGTGGCTCTTGCGGTGGTTTCGTTCACATGGCATGCTGCAAAACTGGTATGGTATGACTTGATTGCATGGCGAACACAAGCGATAGACCCCAACATGAAAATCATGACATGCGTGTCATGTAACAACATGACTACATGCCACGCTCATGATGCGCTCGCGGCCGTTTCGCTAGCGTCACATATACCCAATTTGGTATTACGGTACATGAATGGATGACGAAGGTATGTGACTGGTGTAAACATGATAATCATTAGACGCGTGTCATGTAACAACATGACTGCACACCACGGTCATAATGTCCTGGCGGCCGTTTCGCTAGCTTTACTTATACCAAATTCGGTATTCCGGAACGTGAATGGATGACGAAGGTATGTATGATACTTGTGCAAACATGATAAACATGGGATGCGTGTCATGTAACAACATGACTACATGCTACACTCATGATGCGCTCGTAGCCATTTCGCTAGCTTCGCATGTACAAACTCAGCATTACGCGACGCGAATGGACGACATAGGTAAATGACACATCCAAACATACTAACCACGACATGTGCGTCATGTTACTGCATGACTACACGCCACACTCATGATGCACTAGTGGTCGTTCCGCTAGGCTCACCTGTGCCAAATTTGGTAATACGTGACTTCAATGGATGACGAACGTATGTGACTGGTGCAAACATGATAATCATGAGGTGCGTGTCATGTAAGAACATGACTACATGCCACAGTCAAGGTGCCAATACATTTCGACGTGACGTGGTGCGCGTGCTCGCCGGTGTTGCAACGCCAGGCGCCGGTTTTGCCATATACTCGCAGGCGTCCGTCGCACTGCGTTGCCTTGATGCCTGCGCGCTTCAGCGCGTCCGGCATCCCTCCGTCACGAAAAGAAGGAGACATGGTGTTGTCTGGGTGACGCATCGTCGCGAATTTTGCGCCGGTTGCCGTCGGTCGAGCCGCGCCGACGGACGCTGGTCGCGCCGGTCGCACCTGGCGTCAGGCTATAGAGTGCTCGCGTTTTGCTAACGTAGCGTCGCTGCGCCCAGCTCCACATATACAAAATTTGGTGTTACCTGGCG